CCCGCGGGCGCCGTGCCCGCCGCGCGCCTCCCGCTCTCCGCCCGCGGGCCCTGCCTCCCGGCCCCGCAAAGCTTTGTTCTTGGCGGCCGTCGTCGCCTCCTTGGCGAGCCAGTGCCCCCGTCCCCGGGCGCTTTGTTTTTCCCCGCTGCCCCCCGCGACTCTCTACCCCCGGCCCTTTGTTTCGCCGCCTTGGGCTCTTTGTCCGACCCGTCGCGCCCCGCATCCCTTCTCTATCTCCTCCCTTTAGCTGTCCTTCCTCCCGTGCCCCTTTGTTGTGCCCCTCTCTAGTCGGTAGCTCAGTGACCTGCCACAACCCAGGCACCAGATTTCTGTCTTCATTTTTCTTTTATTATTTTTCTCACGTGTTTTCCTTTCACCTCTCTGTTTGGTCCTTGATCACCCCCAGAGGCTTTGTCTCCCCCATCCAGTGGCTTCTTCCCTTGGCACCCCTCTTCCCCTCCCATCATCGGTTGATTTATCCACTACCCACGGTGTATGTCGGCTGAACTGTCTCAGCCCCGGGGACTCCATCTGGTTCTTCTACGTGCAGACAGGCACTACGGTTTGTTGTTGTTTTTGTGGGTCTGAGAGATGCAGGGGGATACTTAGTTTCCTCCTCGGCGCTCCTCCTCTCCGCACCCTTTTCTCTCGGGATTACAGTGTCTCCAGTTTTCTTCGCGGTCTCTTTGGGCCCGTGGTTGTTTTGCTTGGAAACAGTAGCCTTGAAAAAAGATCTGGTCTCTTGGTTATTGTGCCCCCAGTCCCCCCCCCCCCCCACTTTGGTTTCTGACGGTCTAGGCCAAGGGCAGCTGCCGCAGCTTTGCATCTGGGTTACCTGAGGGTATTGTAGGATGATTAGAAGAGGCGGGAGGTATTTTTTTCTGTTGGTGTGAGAATAGTTTCAGATATCCATATTGGATATTCATTTGATATGTGAGTAGCAGTTAAGTGAATTTTGATGTTAAAAACTTGTGAATGTTAGGGTGGAGAATTTCAACGTTTTCTAGACTCTAGGTCTAGAGTTTAGTTACTGTATTTTACCAGCAACTCCTGCTTCGCAAGGAAAAAGGGCGGCATCCTGCTTGGGAATTTGATATAAATGTTTTACTTTTTCTTAGTCATTAGTTTACAATTATATGCTTTTGCTCTGTAAATTTATGACAATCTTTCTGCCTCATCTTTGGAACTGAAATGAGGAAAGCGCTTAAGAGTGCAGTTTCTGGTTGATGAATACTGCTTCTAGAATCTTTGTGGAATGCTTTAAGCAGACGCAATTGAAATACATTTAAGTAATAGCCTTAAGTAAGGTAAAGGCACTTCTAATGTCAAAGGAACTTTAAATTGTTCAGAGTTCTTATTGTTATGGTAATTTAAAAGCTTGGGGTTGTGTGTGGGGGTGGGGGGAGAGTGGTGTGGTGTATTTAAGCGACCTGAATATTCTGGTGCAGGGAATAAGAGGTATTTGATTTACCAGGATTACTAGACTGAATATATTGTTCACGAATTCTCCCCCCCCCCACTAGTTGATCACTACTTTTAGAATATAGGTTACCCATAAAATCCTTTGGAGTGTCATTTCATTTATAAAGCTCCACGTAAAGTGCTACTAGTAGAGGATATACAAGATTTAGTGTGAGGGACGTTGATGGAAAGCATTTTTTTTTTTTTTTGAAGTCTGACTAGAATTAGTAGTTTGAATTTTAATTAATGGAAAAATCATGTTTCATGATTGATATATGAAGTTTTTGTGAAAATTTGCAGTTTGGGGTTGATGAGTGGATTTTGCCAATAATCATTTGTCTCCCTTGTTCTTAGTGCATAATCATTCTTTTGAAGGGAAAATCGTGTTGATTCTGACTGTAAGCAAAGTGTAAATACCGTGTAATAAGGGAAGGTATTTTGCTCTGGCTTGTGTATGTAAGAATGATCGCACAAACACCATAAATGCAACTTGTACAATTCTAGTTGTATTTTTTGTTTGTAAATTGTATATGACCTTTATTTCATGACCAAATAAAACAAAGCCTTTACTAAATTATATCAAACAGCAACATATTTAGATACATACTAGATGAGTGGTGGTTGGGAAACTTTCATTCTGATTATTGACTATTAAAGTTTTAAATTTATTGTCCATGTGTATTGCAGATGGGTCTATGGAGAGTATATTTTCAGGAAAAAATGTGACACTCGCAGTATTTTCAGATCTATTCTAATATATGCTTCTAGGTATTAGGTTTTAAGCAGCTAGTTTGTTAAAAAGTTATGTATTATCCTATAGCTGCAGATTTCTATTAATGTCTTTTAAGTGTCTAAGATAAAAAAAAATGGTTTGGGGGGGAAGCCACACTTGCCAGCTGTAATTCATTAAATAATCTTTGGCACTCTGGATAAGGTATTAGGGGAAAAAAATGTGTTTGCAAGTTCTTACAAATCTTAATTCTAGTATTTAATCATTTTTAAAAATAAATTTGAAAACCTGAAACTTGGCTTTAAAGCATTATTTTGCATTTTGCTTCCTTCTAATACTAAATTTCATGTTATTTCAACTAGGGGCAGTATTTTCTCATGGATTGACTAAAAGTTGTTATTTTTGGCATTTGGCTTTGTGATTATTTCCAAGTTACTCTACTTCCCCTGGGTCAATTTCCTAACTATGTAGTAAAATGGGAATTGTTAATAACTTGCCACATCTGCACAGGATTGCTGTGCCTTAGGATTTGCAGAGAGCATCCTTGAATGAAAGGTGTGGTTAAAGTCTAGGAATTGTTACTGAAATAAGCTGATGTGAAGTAGGTCATATTTTATAGGAAGTCAAGTAGGAGGTTATGAACTAAGTTCTTGGAAAGTCATAGTGGGATGAAAAAAACCCAAATATGTATTATAGTTTGAGTAATAAAACAGATACATTTCCCACCTATAAGAGGGAGAGGGATAAGTAAACAAATTACAGAGTGGTATTTGTGTGTGAATGTGTGCACGCTTGTGCATGTGTGTGTTGTGTAAGAGATTGAAGATATGTCAAAGTCAAATGTAATAACACGTAAAATTATGGGATGCTTTTCCTCTATTGATTTGTTTTCTGCATGTAGTAGTTGTTTTAAAAAATAGTGGCACAAACTGTTTTCGCTAGATTTTAGGCCAAGTCTGTTAATAGTAATGACTAGTTATAAATATGCCTTATATTATTTAACACTTTGCCAGTTACTCTCAGAAATATTTTCTAAAAACCAGGACTATAAATTCAGACTTGACCCTTGGCCTAGGGAAGTCTTTTGCATTTGGGGGACACTCGATAGATATTTATTGAACAAACGAAACCTGTTGCTTCTCTATTCCTGGCAGATGATATCATGTCCCAACTAGCTTCTCACTGCAGGTTTCTGAATTCCTTTCTCAAACTAACCCTTTACCTTTAAACAGTAAGAACTGGTAATTTTCCCTCCTGGAATATCTCTTGAATCTGTCTGTCTCATCCTCACTGCCACAGTTCCTGCTCTCATCATTTCTCACCTGGATTACTGCAGGCATTGACAGCTCCTCCTTCCTCTTTCTGGTTCTAGACTCACCCCCTTTGTCCAGCTTCCACAGTCTTTCTAAAGAGTAAATCTGATCATTTCACTCCTTAATTTAAAAACCTTTCAATGGCTCCCCCTAGCAGCCTTCATTAAGAGAGGCAATGGAGTGGAGAGTTTATGAGCTCGCAATTAGGATTTAATCTGAATTGGATTCCAGTTTTGTTTCTGCTACTTAAAACCTGTAACATTGACAAGTGATCCACCCTCTCCTTCCCTCTTCCATCAATTGCAAGATTATTCTTAGCTCAATGGGTTGTTGTGAGGATTAAATGCAAGAAAACATTTAGTAGGATATCAGGCACATAGCAAGTGCTCAAAAAATGTGGGGCTGGCCTGGTGGTGTAGCGGTTAAGTTCTCGTGCTCTGCTGTGGCTCCCCGGGGTTCGCAGGTTTGGATCCCAGGCGTGGACCTATGCACCGCTCATCAAGCCATACTGTGGCAGCGTCCCACATACAAAAGAGAGGAAGATGGGCACAAGTGTTAGCTCAGGGCTAATCTTCCTCAGCAAAAAGAAGAAGATTGGCAACGGATGTTAGCTTAGGGCCAATCTTCCTCATCAAAAAAAAAAAAAAAAAAGAGCTAGCATGGCATATAGCTTCATAACTACTTCGTTTACCTTTTCTCCAGCTGAACTGTTTGCCTTTCTTTCCTTTCATTTTCAGTGCTCCAGCCATATTTAAGAACTTGGAATTCCCTGTGTGGGCTCAGCAGTTTAATGCCTCCCTGTGCATGAAAAGTGCTGGTGTTAGTGCGTTATTATTCCAGACTTGGGTCTGAGGATATTCTAACTGGATCCACCAAGCTGAGTTCAGTGCCCCTCCTGTGTGTTCTTAAAGGACCCAGTATAATTTTCTTGGAAGTGTCATACTGAATTGTAATTGTCGGTCACACCCAAAGGCATTTAGTTACTTGGTGGCAGATATCGTTTTCTTCTTAATCATTTATATATTCTTATACTCAAAAGGTTTTTTGAACCAAGGACTCAGAGTACTTTGAGACCTTCATGCAACGTGATTCATGTAGGCAGAATTTGTTTATGTGTGTGTGTGTATATATGTGTGTGTGTGTGTGTGTGAATATATATATATATATATATATATAATTTTGATTCTGTAGGAAATTTAATTG